TGCTCTGTTATTTTTAACAAAAAAATGTCCCATATTTCAGAATATATCAACCTGCATTTTTCCCTGTCATCTCCTGGCTTCGCTGTTCCCTCGTCGTGTGTTTTCTTTGTAAAGCCCATGTGTGCTTTACAAAGAAATGCTGCAAGGGCAGCACTGCAGACAGGTTTGTGTCCACAAAATGAAGACCTTCCGTGACTTTTGTTCTGGTTTCAGGTGTGCATGTGTTGACCTCAGATCCCACTGCTATTTTTGGTGATACATCCCAGCTTTCTGAAGAAATCCTGCTGTTTTGAGGGCTCCAGCCCAGATTTTATAACTGTGATCACCAGGAGAAGCACCCAGAGTTGTAGAGACGGGTTGTGTTTCCCTGCTGTGGCCTTGCAGGAATGAGGAGACCTGGTAGTGCCCACCCCCCTGTCTCTGCCTTCCCACAGAGACCTGGCGCTTCCCTGCATGGATTTTTTGGCTGCCTTGGCTGCTGGGCAGCTCCAAAGCCAACAGTCCTGGCTGATGGCTGTCACCTGGCACAGGGACACGTGTGCAGGGATGGGGAAGGCTGTGCCACTGGTTTTTGAGCAGAAGTCCCTCCTGGCTGCACTCACCTCCAGCAGCGAGCGACCTTCAAACTTCCCCCACTTCAGCTGCGCTGAAATGACTCAGATTTTAATTCTGGGGTTGTGCAGTGGGTTTTATCTTCTGCTTCAGGTTCCTGCTTCCCTGAAAGAAGACCTTGGCTAAATTTGTGTTGCCGGCTGAGCTGTGGTTTGCAGTGCAGTGTTACAGGAACGTCCTTTGGAAGGTCGCCGGCAGCCCTTCGGCAGCCAGCCTGCCTCTCCCGTCTGCTCCCTCCCGACGGGGGAACCTCGCTCCTTCCCTCTTTTCAGGTCTCTCTCCATTTTTTTTTTCAACTTGCCCCTTGCATAGCGAGCTAAATAGGAGGTGATAGAACGTGGAATTGCCAGCTTGAAGGGCAGAGGGGTTTGCAGGTGGGTCATCCATCAGGAAAGGTGGGAGCCTGTGGAGCGCCAATGGGGTTGTCACTGCTCTGAAGACTTCCTTAGCCATGGACTTAATTTTCTCTGGCAGCAGCTCTGCCTACCTTAGAAATTCATTACTGATCTTCAACTCAGCCTTATACAGCCTGTATTTCCCTTGGGTTTCCTTTGCTTTGGAGTGGGGAGAAATGTTCTCATTTACAAGAGGTCGAGAGTTGCTCTAAACCCGAGTGTCACCACAAAGAGTTGGTGAGGGTGGGGGGTGGATCTTTCTGTGCAAGTCTTGATGGTGTTGGTGGGCGTAGAGGGTGGGTGGATGTTGCTGTGCAGGGTATTGGTGGGGGTAGATGATGGATGGATGTTTCTCCAGGGTGTTGGTGGGCACAGAGGGTGGGTGGATGTTTCTCTGCAGGGTGGTGGTGGTTGCAAAGGCCCTCCAGCTTGTGGAACCTGCTGGACTGGACTTCTGGTTCAACTGGTGATGGGGTGAGAACTTCCCTGTGCTTCCTCCCCACTTCAGCCCCAGCACAGCTGCAGAGGGGAGGACCCTCTAGTTGTGCCATGAGCACCCCAGTACTTCTGCAGGTCTTAACTGCACGTCACATCAAAGGGCTGGTTGCTTGTTGAGCTTTGGGTTACATGCTGGGTGAAGTGCCCTGCTCCCCTAGAACCTGGTCATGTCAAGAAACATATATAGAGAGAGACAAATGCCTCTTCCAAGCTCTCCAGCCCAGTTCTTTGGCTCAGAATTGGCTCCTGACAGGGGGATGGGAAAGGAGAGGCTCTAGACATAATCCCAATTGCAGTGCCTTGGGCTTTGAAATGATGACAGAAAATTTTCCTGCTCACATTTGTTCTCATTTAGCTCCAGCTTGTTCACCAGGATGTTTTTCAAGGAGGGTCTGGTCAGTGTTGGCAGAGGAAAGTCTCTTATTTCCCAAGCATGCTTATCACTTTGTCCTTGACAACGATGGGAACTTTCGGCACTTTTTTCATTTAGAGGCAAACATGAGCAAGGCTGCCCTCGCAGGCAACATTGTCCTGCTCTTCCTGAGTGCTGAATCACACAGGACAGATAAAGTTTCCCCAAAATATTGTTGGCTTTGCAGATGTTGGACCTGGGAGAATTGGGTGGGAGGGGGAGGAGAGTGAATATCTGAACTACAAACTGAACAAACCTTGCAGCTCATGCAAAATCCCTGCCATCACTTGGGAAAACGTGTTTTGGTGTAGGATGAACAATAATATCTCAAGTATTATTAACAACTTCGTAAATAAGGAGAGTTTGTGTCTGGAATAGAGCAGTAGTGGTGGGGTGGTGCTGCTTAACCACAGGAGTGGTGGATGGGTCAGATCCAGAGGATAACACTGAGGCTGCACATGCAGGGAATCAGTTGATGTTTGCCCTCTGCCCTCCCTTCCTGTGAATATGGGGGTGGTTTAGGCTGTGGGACGTGAATCACATGAATCAGGAGCTCATGTTTTAAGAAAGCTGTGTATTTTCAAAGTAGAGGATTTTTCAATGCTGCTATCATTTTACATAGGGATTCACTGAAGATGACAGTGTTTGTGGAGCAGACTGAAACATGCATTGGAAGGATGATGCTTAAATCTCTCAGCTCTCTGGGAGAGTAAAACCTCCGTGCTACATGTGCCTTTGATATTTCCTTTGTGTCTGCAGAGCTTTGGTTATTTTTATGTGTCTTTTGTTATCTGCATGTACAATCAGACTGGTTTTATCTGTATCTGGATAGAGTACTTGTTCCTTGGTAAAGCTGAGGACATAAACACCCTCCATAACTAACATGTAGGACCCAGGGAGTGGCTGGAGCTGTGTCAGGGCAGGCTCAGGTTGGATCTCAGCCAAAGGTTCTTCCCCCAGAGGCTGGTTGGGCACTGCCCAGGCTCCCCAGGGCAGTGGGCACAGCCCCAAGGCTGCCAGAGCTCCAGGAGGGTTTAGACAACACTCTCAGGGACAGGGTGGGATTGTTGAGGTGTCTGTGCAGGGCCAGGATTTGGACTGGATGGTCCTTGTGGGTCCTTCTAATTCAGGAGTTTCTGTGATCTGCTGCTGTGGGAAGGTGAATGTTGGAGGAAGCCATTCCTGTTCAAGTGCTGGTGTCAGAGAGATGGAGGCAGAGGGTGCTGGTGTGCTTGGGAAGCTGCAGGAACTAATGTCACATGCTGGCACTACCCTTGTAAGGACAGGGTTTCCTTCTAGTGTCACAGGGAAGTTTTGGAAGTACAATAAATGCCCTCTTCAGTGTCATCCCCTTTTTGGTAGAGATATTTTGAGGAATCTCTTGTTTGAAGGAATAGAGTCAAAACAGTAAAGGCTGATTAATAAGGGCCCTGTCCTATTTGATGGGACTTGTGTTCTTTAAGTGTTCTTTAACCCTCAACCAGCATCCACATGGGGTTATGGTCCATAACTATGAGCAGAATATCAGTATATCTTGCTGACTGGATGCTGTGTGCTCCAACTTCTGCTTTTGTGGCTTATGGGCCATTTCATCAGAGCAGAGATGCAGTGCCAGGACCTGCTGGGGTACAGAGGAGCTGAGGGCACAGCACCCACCAGCTGGCATGGCCACTGTCCCCAGCCCGGGCTCAAAGACAGGCTGGACTTAGTGAGACAGTGATCAATAGTGGGAAAGTGCTAGAAGTGTAACCAGAGCAAGATGCTTTGCAATATCACTCAGGGTTTGGCTGCTGTCCTCCTCCTGATTTCTCATGCACAAAGCAAACCATTCCTGCCTGCGGAGCAGCTCAGACGTGATGTGTTCACACACCTGGCACGAAGCACTGGCTGTGTGTCTCAAGGAAATTAGAGCATGACAGCCAGTGAGAAGGAAATTCTGTGCCTGAATGTGGCTTTTAATTTCCAGTGTTAAAAAATCCCGACCCACCAACTGCTCTTGGTGTGATCCTTGTACCTGCTCCGATTCCCGTGACTAAATTGCATCGCTTACAGGAGGTGGAGGGTGGGTTGGCTTGAAGTTTTTCCTTCCCCTGTCTTAAAATTAGAAAGGAGGAGAAGCTTTGCCCACTTCCCTTTCCCCAGCAGACCATCTGGGCTGCAAGGAGAGCTGCCATCCCTACAGCTCCAGAACAGAACCAGGGCAGGGCTTTAACTGTGCCCTCTGTGGCTGCGTGGTCGGGACCACAGTGAGTGCTCTCAGAAACCTTTGTGAGGATGATGATTCTGGATGGGGTTTAATGATGATGTCCTGGCCCAGTGGTGAGATGCTCTGTTCCACAAGTCCTGTGAGGAGCAGCTGAGGGAACTCAAGTCATTCAGTCTGGAGAAGAAGAGGCTCAAGGAGGACCTCATTGCCCTCTACACCTGAAAGGAGAGTGTAGTGAGGTATGGATTGGTCTCTTCCGCCATGTCTCAAGTGAAAGGATGAGAGGAAATGGCCTTAAGTTGTGCCACAGGAGTTTCAGAGTAGATATCAGAAAAAAAAATCACAGAAGGGGTTGTCAGGCATTGGAATAAGTTGCCCAGGGCAGTGGTGGAGTCACCGTCTCTGGAAGTGTTCAAGAGTCCTCTGGATGTGGCCCTTGGGGGTATGGGTTAGGAGTGATTATGGTGGTGCTGGGTTGATGCTCAGACTGGATGATCTTGGAGGTCTCTTCCAACCTTGATGATTCTGGGATTCCGTGTGCACTAATTCCCTTACTTTGGCTGGTGCTTTGTGGTCATTTTATACAGCTGTGATGTGCTGCCATCATCTTATACTCCATGACTGTCTAAACTGATACTGCTGCTTCAGGCTGTATTTTTAACTCCACTCTTGCAGTGGGGGAATGCACTGAGTCTGAAGTCTCTTGTGTGGACTATTTCCCAGGATTTGGACCTTTCAGTGCACGTGGGCACTGCTCTGTCCTGCTGGAGGACAGAAGGATGCAGCTGGTTTCCATTTTGGAGCCTCCAGCAGGAGCTGGTTAAGCAGTGATGCTGTGGGGGCTCAGAGATTAATGCTCATGTTTCTCTTTCCCCAGAGATCATCGATGACCTCACTAACCTGGTGGAAAACACGGACGACAGGATCCGCAACCAGACCCGGCACGTGAAGGTGGTGGACAAGAAATCAACCTCCTGTGGTAGGAATTGGCTTGAGCACAAATCAGTTTGGATGTGTACAACAAAAATTAAGGCTGTTTAGCACTTATTTTTTTCTTTCACCGACTTTTTTCTGACTTATAAAGTTTTGCCACCAAATTCAAGCATTTTGTACCCCGTGGCAACTCCTGGAAGTTTAACAGTTGAACTAAGGGGGTCTGTGAAAGCACTCCCTCTTCGAGAGAGGAATTGATTTTTAGTCAAATAGCTGAATGTTTTCCCTACCATCTGCACAACCTTTTGTTAAAACACCTTCTATACCAAGACCTCTGATTAAACAGGTGTTATTTTTATACATACATATATATATTTATATATATACACACAAATATATATAAATATATATTTATATATAAGGGCAGTTAGTAATTGATGGTGTGCAGTTATTAACTGTTACTAATTGGTGTGCAGTCCCCCCAGGACAGCTTCTTTTAAAGCCAAAAATCCCACCTCTTTAGGCTTCTACTGTGATGTGCAGGTTTGACTCTCTGTGCTTGCTGCTTGTTGGTGCAGTTAAATTTCCTTGAGCCGTTTGACTCCAGCATTGCACAATATTCTGATTGGAAATTGCCTGAAATTAGAGTGGTGTGTGTTAATGAGGTTTACAAAAACTTGCTACCGGCTCTCACAAACCGGTCACAGCGGGGAGCGAAGCCGCAGGGGCGTTTCGGGTGCTGTCCTGCAGGAATGTGTTCCTAACCAAGCCTTCAGAGTCTGCCAGGCATGAAATCCTTCCTGGGGACTCCTCAAGCTACATGCAGGCTGGTCAAGCTAAACTGGTATCCTTTTCCATAGAGCCCAAGGCAGGTTATGATCTCAGGCAGGTTTCCTCTGTCGGGTGAAGAGCTGGGGGTTGATGGCAGCGACCAGGGGACGATGCTGTGGGTGATGGCAGAAAAGTGTCTCTGTGTCCAGAGGGTGACTGATGGAGGGATGAAGTCCACAGGGAGACATGGTGGCAGTTCACTGCTGAAAGCAGTGTGTCTGGTTCTGCTGCCTGTGGTTCGTTTTTGCCGTGCCAGAAGGCTCAAAACTCTTGGTAGAAATTTGACTTATAGTCAGAAGTTATTGAAATTTGGCTTATGTAGTTTAGTAAAGAGCAAGTCAAGAGCTGACTTGGTCACGTACCTTCTTGAGATTTTATCCTGTAGAGTGAGGATCTGGCAGCAGAAGCTCCTGAGCTTAGGCTGGCAGAGGCATCTTTCAGGCACTGACAGTATATTCCAGGGATTTATTTGGTTCTCCATCAGCGATAACTTTTTGAAAGCTTGGTTGATATAGGTTGATGAAAACCTGTGGCTTCTTCTGGAGGTTAAAGTTGACTTGTCAGAAGCATTTGTCTCCCATTCTTCTCGTACCGACTACAGATGGAACTAAAGGCGTGACTGCAGAGTTCATGACTGACTCTTTTATTTTGGATCTTTAATGTTGATGCAAGATGGATTTAATTTAAAATTAAGTGCACTTGAATGATGCTGAGTACCCCTGTGTGCCTTTGGAGTCTCCCCTTAATTCCTGTGGTTTAGTTTTCTGCACGAGAGCAGGGATGTGACTGTGCAGGGCAGGCAGGGAGTCCCATTTCACCCAGGAGGGATCTCTCCCCCCTTTTTTATGTTCCTCATGCAAGTACCCCCCAGACATGTTGCTGGATGATGAGCCTGTCTCTTTAACTTGGGAAGCCCATGCTGGCTGCCTGGGGAATTTGAGAGGAGGAGGAGGAGGAAGGAGGAGGATGGGAGAGGCGAAGGCTGGGAGGATCCTGGGCTGGATTCCTTGGGGGTGACCTCTCTCACCCTTTCCACATTGGAAAACATTTTTCTGCAAGGGGTGGTGAGAAGCACTGCCCCCAGTGCCTGTTCTCTCTGCTCCAATAGGTCTTCCTGTGTTTGCATAACAATCTGGGCATATGTAAACACCATATTGCCTCAGATAGCTGCTTCATTTTGCCCAAGCACGAGTTTTAGAACAATAAAGCTGGAAGACACAGGCTTTAATGGCATTTTTCCCATCCCTTTTCCACCCTTATCCCTGGCACTGGAAGCGAACTAGTGTGTTAAGATGAGAAAAACTCTCCCTGTATGTATGATTATTCCTTGAATAAATCCAGGCAGCAGGAAAACTGGCACCTGCTAGGTAACTTTTTTAGAGTGCTTTTTCCCCCCCCTCCAACATTTAGTTTAAATTGATAAAATCTTCAGTAACCCTTTGGGTTTGGTGTTTTACTTTGGTTTTAAACTAAGGTGAAGTGCTCAGTCTTCTCCCTTGCCCACCCCTTCCTTGCTCAGACCCAGTCTCTATATTGTTGCAGCATGTGCCTGTTTCTGTGTTTTTCCCTCATTTTTGGGATCATAATGCCTTCTTTTTTCCTGCTGAGTGCCTGCACTGGAGCCACGGGCTGTGGATACAAGCGGATCACACTGGCAGGAACAGCAGAATAATCCCTGTTTTACAAGCAAGAATGTCATGCATTAATGGGTGTGTCTTTGTTAGCAGCCAGTATCATCATAAAATCAAAGTATGGCTGATGAAATCCAACTTTAATCAATATTTCAACATCTCTCTCTCTCATGCAAACAGCATTTCCAGCTTTGGAGGCTGTTCCCAGTGGCCTGTGCCACGTTGGTGTCACCTGCCCAGCACACGGCTGTGGTGGCATTGCCAGGAGCAGCCTCTGCCCCTCTGTCCATCCTCAAGCCTGGCAGAAACCTTCAGGGTTGTTTCATTTGCAGCTTATTTTCCGTGCCATATTTCTTGCTGGCTCAAGAGCTGTTGACAGTCCCAGCCTTTGCCCCTGCCCCAGGAAGGCTGTCCCGCTCCGAGCCCGTCTCCCTTGGTGGCCCTGGGCAGCCCCACACTGGTGTCAGTGGGAACTCACAGGGATTGCAGCAGAAGAATAACCATGGGATATGCTCAAGCCCGCTGCATTTATGAAATTATTGTTGAAAATCATCAGTCATCCGCAGGCAAATGTTTGCACACTGCTTGGCATTGTTTGGTTCCTCCTCAGTGTGTGCTGGGCATTAGGGGGGCTGGTAGGAAATATAAGTTTCTTAGATTTCAGGAATTTGCATTGGGCTTTCACCAAAATGTTCACACAAATCATTAGTCAAATGTGAGGCTGCCTTTGCCAGCTTTGCTCCAGGAATGTCTGCATGCACAGTCCTGACTTTTCAGTTTCACCACTGATGCTCGTGGGTTTGTTTGTCCCCTCTCTCTTCCAGTTTGGGCACCTTCAGGGGTTTATGCAGAATAACACTCATTAACCACTTCTCAGTAATTTTTTTATTAGAAATATTAACCCTTAGAATGTCCTTTTAAGAACTGCATTTAAAAAATAAGCAAAGAAATGAAAGTATAATTAAGGTTGAGATGCTGGGGGGTGTTGTGGTTTAACCCCAGCTGGCAGCTCAACCCCACAGAGCCACCCACTCAGTGTCCCCTGGTGGGGTGGGGGAGAGGATTGGAAGGGCATAAGTGACAAAGCTCATGGCTTGAGATAAAAACAATTAAATATTTGAACTATAATAATAATAATAATAATGATGATGATGATGAATAATTGTAATGAAAAGGAAAATAACGAAGAAATAAACCCCAAGTAGGGCAAGGGATGCAAATGTGAACAATTGCTCACCACCAACCAACCAATGCCCAAACAGTCCCTGAGCAGTGGTCCCCCACAACAACCTCCTCCACCCAGTTTTATTGCTGAACATGATGCCATATGGTCTGGAATATCCCTTGGGTCATTTGGGGTCAGCTGTCCTGGTTGTGTCCCCTCCCAGCTCCTTGTGCACCCCAGCCTGGTCACTGGTGGGGTGGGATGAAGAGCAGGAAGGGCAGTGATGCTGTGTAAGCCCTTCTGAGCCATAAGGAAAACATCCCTGTGCTGTCAATGCTCTTCCAGCACAAATCCAAACCACAGCCCTCTACCAGCTACTGGGAGGAAAATTAACTCTACCCCAGCCAAACCTCACACTCCCCACTCCTTAGTCCACCCCACTGTGTCACCATCCAGTACATCCTCATTAACCACCACCCTTTCATGCAATAACAGATGCCATGTCTGTGGGCAGCCCCCATGAAATATCTGTAAAATGCCCACAAAAGCCCAGAAAACGTCCCTTGAGTTCATTTAGTCCATGACTTTGGGCTCCATCTGTTCTGATGGTCATTCAGGACAGGGGCTGGTGTGTTGTGTGGAATTTCTGGGCACCAAAGCCAGCTCAGCTCAGGTCACTGCTGCACTGCAGCTACTTCTTGTAGGGCTTCTCCTCCTTTGGTTCAGGTGTTTGCTATAACACACAACTCAAAGCATGGGTTACACCAATTTAAAGTTATATCCATTACAGTCTCCACCCCTTGTCCCTTTGGGCCAGGTTATAGGGTTTACAGAATCACAGAATCATTGAGGTTGGAAAAGACCTTCAAGGTCATCGAGTCCAACCTTTGCCCAGTCACCACCTTGTCAACCAGACCAGAGCACTGAGTGCCACATCCAGTCATTTCCTGAACACAAGAACCAGTGCAGTGAACTCCTCCCCTGGCTCCCAGCCTGGCACCAGTTGGTGCTTTTGGGTAACCTTCCCCCCATCCTTGAGTTTTGTAGTGGGTTTTTGTTTTTGTTTCTTTTTACCTAAAGACACAAGTAGGCAGCTCCCTGCAGAAAGGATGGTTAAACCAGGCTCTGGGATGAAAGCATCCTGAAGTGTTTGTTTCTGAAGGAGTCACAGGGATTATTTTAGTGGCCCAGGACACTCCTGGGAGCCCCGTTGGCACATCTGACACGTGTGGAGGCAGTTGCAGCCAGACTGTGCAATGTGTGGGGTCAGAAATGTTCCTCAGGTCCTGCTGAACTAGACCATGAACTGGGGAGGGCACCTGGGGATTGGTGTGGTCCTACCCAAGTCACTCTCTGGTGGCTCTCCCATAGCTGAGGAGAAAGGCTGCTTTTGTTTCCTGGGCCAGCAACACAGAAGAT